CTGGGCATAGTGGTGCATGCCTGTAATCCCAGCATGTGGGGGTGTTGAAGCAGGAAGATTGCAAGTTCAAGCCTAGCCTGGGTAAGTAATTTGCAAAACTCTGTCTCAAAATTTAAAACTTAAAGAACTGGGGATGTAGCTCTGTGACAAGGGCCTAGACTCAACACCTAGTCACATACACACTCACGGCCAGCGGACGCCAGGGAGGCTTTCCCGTGGGTGGGGAGGGGGCCGGAGGGCCACCATGGGTGAGGATGTACTGCAGGGGTGCAAGCTGCCTGGATTACCCCCCAGCCCTGGCCAGGTCACTGTCATCGATATTTCCTGAGAAGAGAGGCCAAGCTGCTGCAGAAAGCAGATGGTGTCTGGGGACCATGGTGTCTGTGCCTGCCCACCTGAGTGGACCGCGGAATGGTTTTCCAGAATGGCCCAGAAATCTCTGGGTCATGGAAGAAAGGCATGCTAGGCCACATTGATTATTCTCGTCCTGGGGAAGAGGGAGTGTCCTCTTCCTTTTCCATTTCTTTCTATTTTGAAACCATCTTGAGCTTAAAATAATAGGTAATTTCCAAGCTGGAGATGGCCCAAAGACCAGCCTTCCAGTAGGTGAGTGGCCACACGTTTTTCTCTTCCCTTACATACTGGAGATTGAACCCAGGGCCTTGGCACTGAACTATATCCCCAAGCCCTACTTTTTTATTTTATTTTTTTTTAAATTTAAGTCTTTTTGAAACAGGATCTTGCTACGTAGTTCAGGCTGGCCTTGATCTCACTTTTGTAACCCAGGCTGGTCTTGAACTCACAGTGAGCCTCCTGCCTCAGCCTGCGGAGTGCTGGCATTACAGGCGTGCACCATCATGCGCAGCCTTTTTATTTTGAGGCAGAGCTAAATAGCTCAGCCTCTCCCCCCCCCTCAGTGGGGGGTGATGGCAGCCGCGTATGCAGTCCTCCTTCCTCAGCCCCAAGTACTAGGATTACAGTGTGCACCACCATGCCTGGCTTGGCTCCAGGAATTCTGCTTCCCCTTCCTCTCCGTATACTTGTATTTCATCCTCACATCATGACCCCTCCCGATTTTGAACACTGTGCCCTAAACATATGATCTTGCTTTGCCATTCCTACACAAATGAATTACGGCAGCCCTAATCCGTCCCCAGCTGGTCACGCCCGCCTGACATCAGCTCCAAGATGTCCTCGGTGGATTCTGCAGCACTTCGGCGTTCATTTCTGGCGCTCAGAAACACACCATGAGTTATTTTTCGTTCCTCCCGTGATTGGATATTTCCTTTTGCCAAACAGAACATTTAAAAAATAGCTATCTGTCATTATCACCACGGAGTTATATTGAGAAGGATATTTTAGTATAAATAAGGTCAGGAAGCCCTACTTTCTGAACCAAAAACAGACTTAAATTGAATAAGTTTTTTTGGCATTTGGGGTTGAGCCTAGGACCTTCACACTGAGCTACATCCTCAGTCCCATTTTATTTTGAGACAGGGTCTTGCTAAATTGCTAAATTGAGCAGACTGGGCTCAAATTTGCAATCTTCCTGCCTCAGCCTCCCAGAGTTCTGGGATTACAGGCACAAGCCACTGTACCTGGCATAAATCTGACTTTCTAAAAATCGATTCTAGGGGCTGGGGAGATAGCTCAGTAGAATAAGTGCTTGCCTGGCAAGCGCAAGGGCCTGAGTTCAATCCCCAGTTCCCCCAAAAAAGAAAAAAAAAATCAACTCCAGCTGGATATGGTGCCACTTACCTGTGATCCTAACACTTGGGTGGTTAAGGCAGGAGGATCACCATGAGTTGGAGGGCAGCCTGGGCTACACAGTGAATTCAAGGTCAAACTGAGATATACACCCAGCGCCAGTACACCCAGCTACAATGACAGCCATGCTTACTGTGATTGGAATACTACATAGTGCATATATGCTTCAAAATATCGTATGTACCCCTTTAATATGAAGTTGTTGTATTTTTAAAATATTTTTTCCATTTTTGGTGAACCCAGAGCCTTCCCACAGGATTATTTGCCCAGTACTTTTTAGTCTTTATTCTGAGATCAGGCTGCTAAAAGCATGACATACTCTTATAATCCCAGAACTGTGGAGGGTACTGAGGTAGGAGGATCACAAGCAGAAGGTGAGCATGGGCCACTTAGCAACTTAAGAAAACCTCATCTCAAAATTTAAAAAAGAATTTAAAAGGGCTGGGATGCAGCTTAGTGCAGACTTCAATCCCCATAACCATAAACAAACAACAAACCAAAACAAAACCCCACAGTTGCCCAGGCTGACCTCAAATTTGCAATATTCCTGCCTCAGCCTCATGAGTAGCTGGGATTACAAGCATGTGCCACCTCGTGGGAGTGACTTTTTTTTTTTTTAGGTTCTGTTAATTTTGTAAAATACTGGGTTTCCGTGGGGTATTTTCATATGGTTTTGTTTTCATGTATGAGAAAACTGTTTTAAAGAGAACTCTCCATTAAGAAAAAGCCACTGTCTGTAACACCACAAGATGCTGAAATGAAAGTGTATACTTGGGTCACAGAGCTGTAACCCACATTCCCCTACTTTCTACCCTACAAACCTTTCGTCAGACCCCCGAGGACCACTGGCAAACCCTCTTCCTCCAAATCCTTCACTCCACAATAATCTCCCCTCAGCTTTGGGGAACCACATCCAGATTGTTGGCCTGGAGCAAAGGCACCCACAGAGGCTTGTCTGCCTCGAATAGCATCTTGGAGGAATGAGTTCATGATCAACTTTTAAGAAGCGAACATTTCACATAAAAATCCCTAGGTCCCTCTACCAAGACGAAGCTGAGCTTTGATAATGGCAGAAATCCGGACCCAGCTCCCCCTCCACTCAGTGTTTACTGGGTGTGTGTGCGTGTGTGTGTATGTGTGTCTCAACCTGTGAGCTGTGCCACTCAGCTGCTGTCCTCCAGACTGAACGGAGGGGAGTGGCCAGCAGAGAGTGTCCTTGTGTCCCAGCTCGATCTTAAGTCCTCCTCCAACCTTAGGATGTGGGTGGAGGTGAACGCGCTGCTACATCGCTCTTACTGTGGGTGGAACCACGTGGAGATCATGGCATCCTGGTCCACAGCGAACAGGCCCACAGCGGGCGCCAGGGTTGGTGGAAACCCCGGGAGTGCACTGCGGGCGTTGCCTCCTGGGGGTGGTCGCCGCGGTGCGCTAGTTGGATAGCTCGGCTCGGCTACTTTCAATTCCCAGCACCGTTTCTGTAACTTCCAGGCTTTGCGAGCTTCAGGAAACAGCGTAAACCAGGCTTGGTAGTTAGTGCATGCCTGTGCTCCCCGCAATCTGGGAGGCTGAGGCAGAGGGGTCCTAAATTTGATCACAGCGGGCAGCTTAGTGACTTTAGCAAGACGCTGTCTCAAAAAAAATTTTTTTTTAAAGGCTGAGAATGCAGCGCAGTGTCACATCCTGAGGAAGAGTGCAGCTTTTAGTTTTTCTTTATTGCACTTACCAAACTGATAATTTGATTGCATCTCTGCTTCTTGTCTGGCTTACCAAACGACTCTCCATGACAGTAAGACCTTGTCTGTCTGGCTCAGCTCCACTTCCCGCCTGGAACAACGCCTGGCATGGAGCAGGGGCTCCACAGTCTGCTCCATGAATCTCTGTCTTGGACATTCCTGTTCCAAATGCCTTTGCAATGATGTAGCCTGCTTCTGAGCAGCCCAAGGTCTCACCGACTCTGGCAAGAGCCACACAGATGTTCACAGCAGCGTTGGACCTTGATCCCCAATTGTTATCAGCTGGGCTCAGAGCCCTGAGTGCTGAATGACAGTTGTGTGACTTGTGGTGGGTGGATCAGCAGCACGGGAGAGTGAGTTGGTGACTGAGAAAAGTGGAACAAGGGACTGAGCCAGAAAGGGAGAATCCTACATCTTAAAGGTCCGGTGCCAGTGCGCGCGGACTCCACTCCACCCCACCCTGAAATGCAAATCTTCCAAAAAAAAAACCAAAAAAACAAAACAAACCCATATGCCCAGATGGGGCAGATGACTCCATGACACGCGGGGAAGGGAACATTGCACCCTGCACGCCTTAAGAAGAAGCACCACGAATGCCTCTGGGAAGGGCTTTGCAAACTGTAAAGCGCTACCCAAAGACAGAGCATAGATAAGGCGGATTTCCTCTGTTCAGCGTGGGCTGCACTTCCCAACCCCGGCTCTCCGCGATGCGGCACCGGAGGTGACAGCTTGGGGTCCCCTGGGAAGGACGCCCTTGGGAGGCCGGGCAGCTGGAGGAAGCTGGAGGAGACGGAGCCGGAGAGCCCGGCCCAGCGCGCGAGCCCTGCAAGTGTTCATCTGCTGCAGGGCTCGGGCTGCAGCCGGAGCAGCCGCTCCGAAGATTGATTACATAACTTCCAGGGTTCAAGGAGGACAACCCAAAGACAGGCCATTCTTTTAGGACCCCCCTGCGCCCCCCCCACACTAAAGTTATAGAAGTGCACAAAATAATATGCAAAACTCATATTCCTACCACTCACCATGAATTGTGAGCAACTTAGCTTATCTATGGGAGGTTTTCTGTTGCCAATTAAATGCTCTTCCCGCAAGTCCCTATATCTGAACCCACAATAAGTCAACCTACTTTTCTTTATTATTCTCCCTCTCCATCCACGTTTATCTAAAGGGATGAATTGCAGAGGTTCCGAAATCTCTCGGCGGGTTCGCACAAGGCCAGGTCTGCAAAATGGAGCCCCCGTGAAAAGATCCCACGGAGATAGCAAGCTTTGGGTTGCAGAGCGACAGCCCCCTCCCTCCCGCAACTGCCGCGTGCAACTTTGCAACTCCTGCTCGGGCCAGGCGGTCTATTTGTTCGGCTCGCTTGGCGGAAGGATCCCGCGCGCGGGCGCAAGGAGGCTCAACCGTCTATTCCCCCGCCCTCGCTCTGGCCCCGCCCCTCTGTCATCCTATCCCGCCCCCTTGAGCCATGGCCCCTCCCCTTTCCTCGCACCCTACGGCCCATAAAGAAGTCCCGGCCGGGCCGCTGCACTCCCCGCGCGCATCCGTGCGCCGCCCGAGGCTGGCTAAGGAGTCGGCGGCCATTTTGTTCTTCTCGTGGTTCCAGTAGGGGAGAGAAGGAAGAAGAACGAGGAGCCGGGCGGTTGGGGGGGTACCCGCCGCGGCCGCTGCCACCGCCGCCGCCACCCGCCTCTGTGCTCGTGGCGTGGGAAAAGGAGGTGTGAGTCCCGAGCGCGAGCCGGCGGCGGCGCCGCTTCGGGAGGGTCGGCGGTGGGGAGGCGATGGCGGATATAGATAAACTCAACATCGACAGTATTATCCAACGGCTGCTGGAAGGTGAGAGGGACGGAGAGGGGCGGCCCCGGGGGCTCTAGGGCGGGGAGTTGGAGCCCGTAGGGCCGCGGAAGGGAGCACCCGAGTTGGCTCTCTGGCCGGGGCTACCGCCGCGGGGAGGCCGTGGGGGTCCCCAACTTGGCGCCGCCCGCCGGTCATTCATTGCAAAAAAGTGCAGCCTTGCTCCTTCTTGACCGAGAAATTTGAAAGCTGCGCTCTCCTGCCCAACGTTTCGCGCCCCTTCCTAGCTCCCCGCGAACCTGACCAGTCTTTGGGGCTGAGAAAGGGGGTTCTCTGCCGGCCCCCGCGGACCGCGCTTTTTTTCTCCGAGATCTCTAGTTTCCGGTTCTCATCTTCTCTCACAGCAGTTGGAAGGGTATGGGTTCTGCCGTGCTTGGGAGCCCTTTGCCTGTCTTGGATCCTTCTTTATTGTGGCTCGGAAGTCAGGGGACCCATTTCTAGTTCTTGGCAACAAACGTGCACGTCTCCCACACACAACACCCCAGAGCTTTTTTAAGTTGTCCCGATCTTGGAGTGATCTCCGCGCTCTTTTCTGAAACCCGAATCCAGCGATGAGGACAGTATCGGTGTCTTTCCAGTGCCAGGCTCGGCGTGAAGCGCTTTGCGTTCGCCGCATTCTTACTGTAATAGTAACTTAGCGCTGCCACAACGCCCATTGTGCGCGTTCTTTGAGCTTTTCGGTTAGTTCTCACAAGTCTTTGGAGGTAGGTACTATTTAATTTTTTTGGAGAGAAGACTTAAGACACAGAAATGAAGTCACTGGACCAAGGTCATTCAGTGACAGTCAAGTTTCAAATCCAGGATCTGCAACTTTCTACAATACACTGCCACTCTGAAGGAATTCTCGTGTCCGGTGGCCGAGGAAAAGTTGAAGCAAAGCTTTAGTTTGGGCTGCATAATGAAGTGGGAGAGGGCCAGGTTTTGACTTTAAAGCAGGAGGCAAAAATGCGCTGTTTCACATGCAAAAGCATGTCTATTAATGTTGACATCTTTTCCAGGATTTTGGAAGTATTCACTCGAATCCCATTCTTGATCTGAGCACTTAAAATGGCTAAGTTGTAGCAGTGTTTGCTCTTCCATTGTCCACCTAAAATATTGTTGGAACTTAATTGCTGTGAGTAGAATTAAGAACATGAACTGCAGGAGCATTCTGATTAAAGGCAGTAAAATGAAATACCATCTTTTTCTTAATCTGCCTATTTTCCTTTTATATTTTAAGAAGGAATCCACTAAATATCTGTAAGGACTCCAGAAATGCTCTTGAAATGTATAGGTGAGAATCTTGTCATTCCGTGTAAAGACCATGTTTTTCACACAAATAAATGCAGTTGCTTATAAATTATATGAGGTCAGAAACCGATTAAAATAATTTGCCATAAGACAATTTAACCTCGAGGGCCTGGAAGTTAGCTCAGCGGTGTAAGCGCCTGCCTGGCAAGTGCAAGGTCCCAAGTTTGATCTTCAGTACTGGGGGAAAAAATCGAGAGAGAGAGAGAGAGAGAGAGAGAGAGAGATTGAAAGAGAGAGATTGAATCTTCCCCCAAGACATGGTCACACTATGTCATCTAGGCTGGCTTTAAACTTGCCTGTATTCTGTCGCGGCCTCCCAAGTGCTGGGATTACAGGAGTTCACCTCCATGCCTGATTTAAGAGAGTAGTTCTTTTACTAAACATTTCGGTTTTAGTTTTGAAGTTCTGCACATCTGTGCAGGCGTATGGTGGGGTCAAGCTAGAGGGGATTTGTTTCTGTATGAAAACAGAATTGTGATTATGTGTTAGAACCATCAAACTTTAAGATCATCTAAGTGTGATTGACCTAAAAACTGTTGAAAATTTTACCTGGTAAACTTGGCTCTTCTGGTTTTTACTTTAAAAAAAAAATTATTTGTAATACTGGGGGTTTAACCTAAGTCCTTGTGCATGTTTGTTAGGTGCTCTACCAAGCTACAGGCCTAGTCCACCCCCTTGCGGGAAGTCTTGTCTTTTGGAGATAGAGTTTCCATATACAGTTCAGGCTTGCCTTGAACTCCCTTTACTCACAGCTATCATCTTGCCTCAGCCTCCCAGTTGGTGACATTAAGGCCATGTGCCACCATGCCTGGCTCTCAGCCCATTTAAAATTTTATTTCCAAACTAGTGCAGTTCTCCTGCCTCCAGAGTAGCTGAGACTAGTCATGTGCTGTTGCTCCTTGCCTCATCTATTGTTCATTAATAGTTTGTGTTTACATGTTACGTTGCACCTGAAAAACAGATCTTTTTTATTTTTGGAAATTAATGTGAAAAATTAATGCCTTGAGTATAGGGTAGCTGCCTAGTAAAAATACTCTTTTTTTTTTTTTTTTTTTTTTTTTTTGTACTGGGAATCGTACTTAGGACTTTGCACTTGTCAGACAGGCACTGTGCTGCTGAGCTATATCCTGGGCCCTAAAGGTACTTTTTCCTGAATGTTAACTTGGCAGAGATTTGGTTTAAGGTGATTTGTTGAGGATGTGTGTAATGGGATGTTGATGATGAAGTTTCTGCTTTTTGTAATGCCTGGTCATTTTTTTTTCCCAAAGAATTTTAAGTAATTATGAAAAGGAGAATGTGACTTTTGTGACCTCGGGAAGCTTTCCTTTTAAGCATTGAAAATCTATCTCTTAAGCTTGAGGGCTATCTGAGTTAATTGAGAAATGGTTTAGTAGTACTAGCAGTAGTAGCAGCAGTAGTAATAATAAAAAAGATTCCCAAAAATGATGTGTTAAGAAGAAACATACTGGTTTAGGTCTTAGTGACTTCAGATTGCAGCTTTACTGTTCTCTAAGCTCAGTAGCTTTTCAGCCATGAGGCATCACCTGTGACCCACTGAGAGAGCTTTTGTGAGAAGGGTCCCTTTATTAAACCTTAAAAGTTGCTTCTACTTAGGATACCTGGTGTTAGCAAGTTTGATAAGTACACAGTAAAACCTGGGAGATTTAGAACATAAAGCTAGCCACTGGATAGTATTCTTTGTTGGAGAAGGGAGAGACTTGGGCATTTGCTCTGTAAATTTCAAGGAGTGATGGCTAGAGTTTTTCTTGTGTAGTAAGTGCTTGTAATTTATTTTTACCTGCTGGTTTACAAGAAGGCTGCTGTCAAACTGCAAAACTGTAATTGCCAGGACCTTTGAAAATGACAACTTTGTCCTATCCTTTTGGCTCACCAAAAGTATTTGCTCCTTTAATCCTATACATAGGGATATTTCTGAAGCTAGTATTCAGATATTCTGAAACCGTTGGCTTTTTAGTGTAATACAAACCCATTTCTGTCTTAGTGTTTAAAAAAGGCAACAGCCTTTTCCTAAAAAGCCATAAAGGACAAGAAAAGCGGAGTGAAAAACAGAGACAAGTATACTGGTTTTAAAAGTTATTCAGATGCTAAGAAAAGAAAAGAAAAAGAGTCTTTCCTAATGAACATGTGCAGCTAGTTTCAACAGTGGCACCCAGTGGGGCCGGGGAGATGGCTCAGTGGAATAAGCACTTCCCTGGCAAGTGTAAGGGCCTGAGTTCAATCTCCGGTTCTGCAAAAAAAAAAAAAAAAAAAAAAAACAGTGGCACCCAAGTTGTAAGTTTCTACCCCTGGCTTAGGAGATGTCTGTTGTGAGCCCCTGCCTTCCTTCTAGTATGCACATTACAAGCCCACAGTGTTGCCTATGTGGCAGATGATGATCTGCATGGCCATGGTGAATGCCATCTGTAGTAATCCCAATGCTCCATAGGCTGAGGCAGGAGGATCACCACAAGTTTGAGGCCTGCATAGGCTACATAAGTGAGGTAAAGGCCTGCTAGCACCAGACAGCAAGGTCCTATCTCATAGGGGTGGGGAAGGAAAGCTTCCTTGCAGGAAGTGATCTGTAGACCTTTTTAAAGCCATACCATCAAAAAGAGTACTATCCTTGTGCCCACAGTGCCCTTTTGCTTCGCAGTAGAAGGCAGCATTGAAACTTCACAGGGTTACATCTTTCTGTTGTGCTTGGGAGATCTGCGGTGCTCTGGAGCCCCAGCTAGCCCAGGAAGTGGAAGTGGGGCCAGCTGTTAAGTTGGTGAGGTTGGCTTGTGCCTTTGAAACTGCAGTTGCTATTAATATATGTATGTATATTTATTATTACTAGTTTTAAAGGCAGGGTCTCTATATAGTTCAGGCTAGCCTTGAGCTCACTTTGTAGCCCAGGCTGGTCTCAGACTTACAACACTTGCAGTGATCCTCCTGCCTCAGGCTCCTAAGTGCTAGGATTAAAGGTTGTGTGCCACTGCACCCAGCTTGAGAATTTCTGATTTTTGTTTTTTGCATTACTGGGGATGGAACTCGACCCTGTGCTTGCCACGCAGGTGCTTATTCTACTGAGCTATCTCCCCAGCCTGAATTTCTGATTTGAAGCAGAAAAAATTATTGCTGTTATGGGCTTAACTGTGTCCCTTAATTTATAATTGGAGCTAGTATAGTAATAGATCTTAAAGGTTAAAATGTGAAAGAAATACTGCGTGTTAATTGTTCTGTAGATGAAGACCTAGCAAATATTAAGAAAAAGATCTACTTTTTAAAATGTTTTAAGGCACTGCCACTTGCTAGCCTAAAACTGCACCTGTGTACCAGGCCTCTTCCTCTCTCTGGGTTTGGGCTTCCCCGCATCGACATGCTAAGTGCACCAAGAAGGTCGGCATTGTCAGTAAATACAGGACTCGCTATGCTGCCTCCCTCCGGAAAATGGTGAAGAAGGTTAAAATCTGCCAGCATGCCAAGTACACCTGCTCCTTCTGTGACAAGACCAAGATACAGAGGCGGGCTGTGGGGATCTGGCACTGTGGCTCCTGCATGAAGACCGTGGCTGGTGACGCCTGGACCTACAATATCACTTCTGTGGTCACAGTCAAGTCAGCCATCAGAAGAGTGAAGGAATTGAAAGACCAGTAGAAGCTCTTACTGTTTGAGACATCCCTAGCCTATAATAAATGGGTTAATTTATG